ATTAGGAAGCACATTGAATTGAACGTCTTTATATTAAAAGGAACCATATCCACTCTGACATAATCCCTAAGATCCATAAGAATGCATGCTTGGCAAGGCTTATGTCCCAACGGATGTAGTTTCTTTTGAGTCAAATGCGTCGAATTTTGGTTGAAGGAAGATTACTTTCGTTATAGAGCGAAATTGCTCGCTTACAGACAATCAGCAGCGATATACAAATAGAGGGAACGCATAATAACAACGATGATATAGCCCGAAATGTGACGAGGACAAAAAGCGCCAAAAATGGGTAACCAAGGCTAAAAATTTGAATTTTACTGATCCTTTCTTACTCATTTTCTTTGATTTTTTTATCCGTGTGACAGAAGGGGTTAATGTCGTACTGATCTCCAGACTTACTGGCCAAACGTAAGTCCTGAAAAAACGCGTTTTCACGTCGGTCTCTCTTTCATAAAAAACCGTACTTCGCATCTAATCCGGATCAGGGCGCATGATGGAGACTCAACTCTGCCATGCTTAATGAAAGGTCTTATCATTATTTGTAATTTTCCGAATTTCAGCTGATAGAGCGAGAATTTTCTAGAAAACTTAAGAATATTTTTCTCTTCTAGGGATTCTCCTTGCTCTTGAACGAAATGTACTTGAAATTTTCAAAGAAATGTATTTATCGCACGTATAAGTTGATCGGATAAAATTGTCTGGAAAGAAATACTTGTCTTGGGGGAATGAGGATACAGAAATCTCATGGCAAAATTCAAATTTATAAACGACCTTCTTTATTAGCGCGGACGCACTGTATGACAGAAATGAATCAGTGAGAACAAAAACACACCAACTCTGTAGCTCGGAAATGCTCAATTTTCATTAAAGACAATCAATTTTCATGAAGGCATCTATTCCAGCTTGGACCTTTAAAGTGTCCTTAAGTGCTTGTCCTTCGGCACCAAAAAACTTTTTCTTGGACTAACTTCTTCACCTACTATGCAGTTTTGTGTGCGTCTTGATTATTTTCATTTTTCCGAGTTGGTGTGTTTGCGTTCTCACTGATTCAAATTTAGAAATAGAATTCCTGAAGTTTCCACCACTAACGTGTTCCACCACTTCCCGAACCGCCCACGCTACGAATAAAATTGTATGATGACCTCTGGAATAACCTCTTCAATTTTGTAGATTAACCCTCCGACACCTGAGCAGATTCTGGCCTCCGATACAAGATAGGGCGTGTTTAAGTTGTATTTATTTATTTACCTTCGTATAAAACATGAATTTGTTATATGTTAACATGCATCATAATCAAAAGCCCAGACCCACAGTGTACTGTCGAAGGAGATCATGCGAGACCATGCCGATTACGAATTTTTGATGCCACTGAGTCCGATATTTCATCGAATGACGTCACTAAATCAGTCCGTATATAATGCGGGGTTACATTTTTATTCAAGTATTTCGTAAAATTTCGCAAACTTCGGTGTATTGAAATTTTTAATTTAGCTCATTCAAAACTACTTGAACTTTTATCTGTCATTAAAATCACAAGAAGGAGAAGAAATAGAAAAAAGTGATGATCAAGAAAAAAAATGGAAGGAATAAGACGAGGAAGAAGAAGATGAGTGATACAAAGAAGGTGAAGATTGCAAATAACCATCATCCGATTCGTTATGCGTCAGCGCGACACGGTGCCTCGCACTTTTTGATTCGTCGAGCAAGCTGATAAGCCTAAAAATTGCGTGAGGTGATGTTTTCGCAACTTCACCAACAAACTGCGTCGATCCGGATATTTCCGAAAATAGCTCATTAAAGTGAGCACTTCACGAACAGCATCAGTTAAGAGTCGAATAAATTAAAAAAAAAAGGGGGGGGGGTAAAAATCGAAGCCCGAAACGTTTACTTCATAGGACTTGGCGTTCCTTAGAAAACAGATTCGAGTCACAATCTCTCGTAATCTTTCAATCGCTTCATTTGCTTACAAACGCGTAAAGTGAAGTGGCTGTCAAAGCGTTCAGATCAAAATATGTTGGATCGTTTCAAATCACGGATGGTCAACAAAGATTAGATAAAGCGCTGCACCCACCCCGCCGCGTCGCCGTAATTACTCCGTCGTCCCAAAAAAGAAGAAGAAAAATACATCGCACGAGAATTTAAACGTACCCAAAACTGCGAAAAAAATAACTCTTGAGAAATGTTATGAGTAAATTTCTTTGAAACTCTCAAACTTGCCAGAAAAAATACGATAAAATTTTTTGAGTTTCAACAGGAAAATCTGGCTAGTTTTCCAAAAGAAGAAGAAGAAAAAGGAGCTTGCGTTTTATCGAAGGAATTAATGTAACACCCAGAGATCGCGTGGCATGGCGCACAGTGGATCGAGTCGATTAGAGAGGTCGAACATGACATTTTAACTAAAACTGCAAATTTTGATGTTTATTTCGTCTTTGAAAGTTTAGCGGGTGCCGCTAAAAGAAAATTTTACGAGGAAACCAATGGAGCCACTTTTAAAACCTCAAAGTTTTTTATGAACGGAGTTATAAGCTTTTAAAGGTTTCAAATTTTGTCCGACCTCTCCAATTGCTTCAATCCCCTGTGCGACGTTACATTGATTCTACCTTTGAGGCATCTTGAAGCAAAGGAAGCCAAGTCCATTTGGCTGACGAGCTCTGGACTACGTAAGAAAAATACCTTTGTGGGGCTCATCAGAAAAATGGACTTTGCTCCCCATGCCTGAGGATGCCTCATTTGGGTTCCTCTTTTAATACATGATCTCTTGTCATAGCGCCTGGATGCAACTATATGGGCTTAATGGATGCGCGTGTTGCATACGCAGATGAATTTAAGGCACTCTGGTTTTCGTTTTCCAAATATCGTTATACGAGGTGTTGGTGTGCGTAATTTGACAACGATGATTCTTACATCATGGCGGCTTCGGTTACTTCATTTCTTCTTCTATTTTTCATTTTTCCTTTCTTGGCAAACCTTTATGAGTCATTTACGGGATCCTGATGAAAAATTGACTTACGTATCAGCGAGGGAACCTAGGACAACTGCACCAGAGAAAACCCCAAGCATGTACAGCATTTGGCTTATTGCGCCCATCCATCGCCTGTCACAAACCATGTTCCACTGAAACAAAGAAACGATTATATTGACTTTCATGCTGTGAGATTGGGCATTACGAGTATACCAGATATCGACGGTGAAACTACCAAACCACGTATCTCGGTTTGCGACGTCGCAGACTTCCTGTCATACTTTATTTTTTAAATGAAAAACTACTTAACATCCAGTCTTGAAAATTTGAAAATTTCAAGGAATGATATTGATTTGGTCTACTTCAAAAAAATAAAATGTGAGCGTAGATTTTTAAACACCGCAAACGAGATACGTGGTTTGGTAATTTCACCGTCGATATGGAGGTTTGAGATGTTCCCAAAGGGGCAGCGAAATATTGGTTTGCAATCGTATGCAGAGCGCATGCGGAAGGAGATCCCCCCTCCCCCCATGGTCCTTTCTCGAACGATACACCACTGTGTATGGACAAAAACCAGAGTTGGCTTTTTTTTTGCGTCTTCAGTATTCATTTCTAACTCGATAGGTCTAGATCTAACGACTTAAGTAGGTACCTTATATTAAATTGTTCGATGCAATAGAGGTCATTCCCGTCAGGGCCTCGGGCAATCGGGCATCGAAAGTGATGATCAGAGAATCCACTTGGACCTCGTACAACGCAACACAAATATAATTATTCGAAAACAGGGTGCGTCGCGTTGTCTCTTTGTCCTAATGCCTATGCTCTAATTCACTCAATTTCAAGGACGCATATTTGCTAGAGAAAGTGGAGTTGACGCGCCCGCGAGCTTTAGCATGCAACTGGGATTTGCGATTTATAGACACCATCCTCCGTAAAAATTCGCTTAAAGCACGACAGTGCCACTGGTTTTCTCTGAAGCGAACCATCAAGCTCTAAAAAGGCGCTCAAATTCGAGGGCGCTCCTAATTGAGAAAACCCCTTCATCATGAGAAAATACACATCTACACAAAAGAGTAACACATAAGTCGACAAATATAAGTGAAACACTTTATAAACAGATGGGGAGCGAATACATCATCAGGGTTGCCATTTTGTGTGGAGTTTCTATTCTGCCGTACTAAGGAAGAACGCCGTTTGAACATTCGAGAGTTGCCCTGGTAAAAATTGGCGATAAGAGCTGCGTTTCAAACTACCATAGGAATTTTTATAGCCGGCTAAAGAAGGCTACAGAAAATCATATAGCTGGATGTAGAATGCGGAGAAAATCATACAACCGGGCTATACGAAGCGATAAAAAATTATGCAGCCGGGCTATAGTTCCTATCGCCGGGCTTTACACTTTATCGCCTGGCTGTTGCTTTTTAGCCATCGATTATAAAAGGCTATAAGAAATTGTGTAGAAATTCGTGTGCTTTGGAAATCATTAAGTTTGATACGGAACCACCTTAATATTTACAAAACGCACATTATATTTTCTTTTAATACATATTTTTTTTCATCAATTAAAATGAGAATAATCCAAACAGGATGTGCAAACATTTCAAAATCATGAGTTGAATAACGCTGACTCCGCCGGATTAAATATTAGAGCCTAACACAAAGCGGAGTGGCGACGCACTGGCGCCTACAAACCTAACAGGGATACTTCACGCATTGCGCAACGCGTGAAGTATCCCTGTTAGGTTTGTGGGCGCCAATGCGTGTTTCGCCCTGGCTGCCCGCCTGCCACGGCGCTTGAAGCAACTATTTCACACCAGAGGTATTGCGCAGTATCATACGAAACTGAAGGCGCTCTAATATATTAGTAATGGCAGGCATCCATCAAAAGTACGGAGCTTTCCTCGCAAAATAAATCAAGATACTACGGCCCAAAAAGAGAGCAGTATTCCAAAAACTCACTAAGTCCTAGCATCCGTAATTAGTAACGTTTAGCATAGGTGCACTTTATCGCCTGCGGACCGATTATTGAAATTAATAGACAAAGCTATAGACAAAGAAGACATAAGGAGTATGGAGCGATCTTATTGGTTGAAATGGATGGTTCCTATAGACTAAGGGAGAAAGTTATGGACTTACTATCGGGTCCCTCGTGGGTTGCCGTTAGTTAGTCTATTACTTATCTTCTTTGTCCATTGCAACCACCCGCTTCCACCAATAGGATCCCTCCGTATCTCTTTTGTCTTCTTTGTCTATAGCTTTGTCTGTCAATTTCAATAATCGGCCTGCTGGATGTTGCTTAATCGCCATCGGCTATAAAAGGCTATAAGAAATTGTGTAGCCGGCTACAGGAGCTATTGGAAATCTTACAGCCGGCTGTAGGTCTATGGTATTTTGGAACACAGATTCTACTGCCAATTTTTACCAGGGTGCACAAATTTTCACAGATAAAATGTTTATTTTTGGGGAAAGTTGACAATATTTCTTTTTAAAATTTTCAGAATTTTTAGATCAAATTGAAAGCAGAATTACCTAAGAAATTGAAAGAAAAATATTCACCAATTGTCTTGAAAATTAGTGATTTGTGAAAGGAAATTTGGCAACGCCTGAAGGCTCAAGGCAGTATTGTACTCTGTGGTCCTAAAATGTATCATTGCGGCGGAAATAATTCCTGCGTGGGAGGAGGATACAGCTCTGTAGCAGCAAGGACACGGGGGAAGAAAAGAGAGCACTGGGGGATCGATTTTTTGGGGGTTGTTGGATTTCACGGGAACACGGGATGTCTATGGATTATCTTCGGGCTCCGCGACGCCAACGTGCCGCTGCCCTTGACATTCGACATCAATGCGCGCAGGGTCACGCACTCAAGTGCTATTTGTGATAATTACTCACGGTAAGTTTCGACCGACAAAAATACCTAACCGGGCCTCTTTCATCCCTCTGTTCTCAACAAACAATGCAGGATCTTGAATTAATATTCGATACTGTCCAGCGGCGTGGCGTGAATTGCGATATATCGATTGTTATGCCATTTAAACCTATGGTAAAGAATCGATTATTAAGGCGTTCGCTGCGAACACCCTGTTTATCGATCCTTTTCCATAGGTTTAAGTGGCATAACAATCGATATATCGGTATTCACGCCACGCCACTGGCTAGGAATATTGATAAGCGGTGCGGCTTAATAAATATCAAGGGATACTCTCCCTGGCCGCTACCCGCCCCAACCCCCAAAGGTTTACTGCGCTATGAAAGAGCCGTTTTCTGGGTCATAATGAGGATTATTAAAGAAATCCGACAAAAATAGCTAACCGGACCTCTTTCATCCCTCTGTTCTCAACAAACAATGCGGGATCTTGAATTAATATTCGATACTGTCCAGCGGCGGGGCGTGAATTGCGATATATCGATTGTTATGCCATTTAAACCTATGGTAAAGAATCGATTATTAAGGCGTTCGCTGCGAACACCCTGTTTATCGATCCTTTTTCATAGGTTTAAACGGCATAACAATCGATACATCGCAAAGCACGCCACGCCACTGATACTGTCGGATGCTATTGCCCTATCGCGGCGTAAAAGGCTGATGCAGAGGGCTAAACTGTGACTTGTGTCGCTGAATCGTTTATATTTTTACGGCCCAACTTTAATGAGAGAAAAGTGCAAAAGATCGAAAGAAATCAATGATTTGAAAATACGCCAAGTGTATGTTGTTGAGCTCTTTTGGAGAGATTGACGGTCAATGCTACCTGAGTTTTCACTTTTTTTCTTGGAAAAATAAGCGAATAACATCTCCGGAGATACGTCGTGGAATTTATGGAACGGAAGGCAATTCGCCAATATTTGCCCTTGGAGGAGGCCAAAAATGTTTTTGGGAGGAGAAAAAATTGCGTATGAACCGGCAAACGATTTTCTTGAATTAAATATATTTGTTGAAATTTTCGGAGTTGGGTTGTTTCCGAACTGAACGATTGTACTCTTCGTTTGATTTTTTCAAAGGGCCAGTGCACCTAGTTAGTCATGAGATAAAATACCGATGTAAGTGACCGCGATTCGGGTCAAAGTGAAGCATGCGCGCTCTTACATGAAACATGATTTCAGCCGTTTACTTGAAATTCATTTTTTGAAAACTGAACAAACCCCCTCCCCCCTACCCCAAAAATCCTTAAATGGCTCCGTTTGTTTCGGGCTCCTCTCAAAAATGTATGAAAAATGGAGGAAAAGCATGGTCGTCATTTAAGCCATCGTAAAAAAAACTAAAAGTCACCTACGCCTTTTTTTACCAGATAAATATTGAAGGTAGAATCGAGGGTCACTTGCGTCCTCTTTTGAAAGTGACAGGTTTTTTACCCCCAAACTTCCTACGGCCACAATATAGATATTTAAAAAATACGTTTAAACTTGGAAGAATGATAAACATGTCTAGATCCGAGATGCATGTATCTATGGATTTTTCAAAACTCAATATATATGATCGATATTCTAATACCCGATATCATGTAAAATTTCAGGGAAAAGCAACTCGACAAACGTACGTCCGTAAGTCATATACAGTGCTATCTCTCTGTAACGACTATCTTTATGACAAAGCATCTCTCTGAAATGAGGAAATCGGTGGTCACTTGAACTTCCTATATTAAATATCGACTATGTTATAACGAAATTCTCTCTTGTATAGAGGAAATCGGCTGGTCCATTGAGTTCTCGTTACAGAGAAAAAGTACTGTACGTTAAAAAAAAATAAATAAAAAAAAAAAAAAAAAAAAAAAAAAAAAAAAAAAAAAAAAAATGTATAATGTATTTCCTTTGGAAAACACACTGAAGAAGTTTGGTGTTTACCTCGATGGCGCGTGACGATTTATAGTAGGTATGATCGTAGATCCAGGCGTCGCATTTAAAGGTGACGTTCTTGTACTCGTCGTGGAGGAGACACTGCGAGTAGCCGGTGCCGTCCTTGTCGGGCACCATCCACGACCGCACCTCCGTCGAGTTCCAGTCTAACACCGTCCCGTTCACCTCCACTTCGGGGATCGCACATCTGAAACAGTCAACGCAGGCATTTAATTCAAGAACTTCACTAGGGGAATTTTTGAATTAGATCAAATGGATCGCCTGAGTCTGATATAATCGTTAAGCACAGCAAAAATCAAAATGGACCAATAACGCAGCAACGAGGCAACAACGATCCTGCCAAATTCCATTAGTTCCAGGGAGAACCCCAACGTTTACCCTGTCAACGGAAATAGATCAACGCGATATCTCTGATCTATAAGCTTACATTGATATCATTCCTGATGTCCTATACTGACATCATGTTGGTAACATATTAACTATTTTGCACCCTTGTCTTACCATCAGAGGGCTGGCTACACCTCTGGCAACTACGCACCCCAACCCCCAGAGGGCGCGCTCCGCACCTGTTCCGGCCCGTGATTTAATCTGAATGGAGGAGGCTCATAGATGGGAAAATTCACAATTTTATCACTCATAGTAAAATATTCCGATACTCATACTTCCAATTTCCAGAATTTGGGGAATATATATTCTTTCAAAAATCTGAAAAGAGAGGTCTTATCTAGAGATACTTGTCGATAGCTGCGAGTTACAAAAAGCATCTAAATTGACCCGGTAGAACAGTGGAACAAACAGCGACGAAACATAGATATTTAGGCGGTCAGAGAGTTTAGAGTAATGAAATTCGTTCAGCATGATATCAAAATAAAATTGGTATTATATCAGAATATACTCCGCATCATTTGTGATGTCTGGAATGTACCAGTGTTCCTTGGGCATAACAATCTTTCAACAATTAGGCAGCAGTTATTTTATTTTTTACAATTTATCTCTAAAATACGGTAAATTGACCCGCTGTAGCGCAATGGTAAAAGGGGGATTTTTGGACTTCAGGAAAATCTTGAAAGTATGCGATGGATGCCTTTATGACCAGTTTTTTCTCTCTCTGATAGTGTAGTTATTTATAACTATAATATGTAGAAAGTATGTGATTGAGATTTCGTTTTTCAAATCTTAACGTCATGCATGATAGTAATCTGAATGTGATTGAAATAACTTAAGATTTTATCAGTAGACCAGAGCAATGAAACCTTATCAATTTAATTGGGGATTACTCAGGTCGGGAGTAAAAGAGTTTATCGCATCTTATCTCTGGATAAGAAATTATTTTCTTAAAAAAATACGAGGAAAAAATAATCACAGAAGGCCGATATTTCTCAGATTTTTCGACGAAAGAGAACATTGTCTAAAGAAGTTTGTGCAATTTCGGATAAGCATTGGCACTTGAAACACACGGTGTTACGTAAATTAATATTGCATTATTTCAATCTCACCACAAGCAAAATTAGAGTTTATTTAACGCACGTAATTTGGTTTAGTTTAGTCGATGACTGGCATGAAGTGACGAGAAATAAAGGAGATGCTCCTCTGAGTCAGGATTTTTGGAACTATCACCAGCGAAAATTGAATCGTCTTAGGTACATGCTTCCTAGAGGCCCCTCCGTTTATGCTACTGGCAGCGCAATCAATGAATTACAGGTACTGAGGACCAAAGATTCGCTTAATTTCAGGGAAGAACTGTCACAGATGAAAAATTATCCGTAGAACTTTATGTTAAAATTCCAAAAGCGCAAATCCCAAAAGTGCGAAAGAAGATGTACGTAAAGACATTTTTTCTACGAGCGTTGGGTCCTGCCTCACCGGGTTCTGAACTGACCGTAGGTTGATGTATATTTTTGACTAGACTTCTTTTTAACTCTGCCGCATAAACAAATATGTCAGGATACGCGCTCAACATTTTTTTATCGTACTTTTCTTTAGGCAGGAGTTGCGGGGCCGCAATCCACATTTTAGAGGGGTATCGTCGTAATAAATTTAAACAATTGAAGAATTTTTTGGAAAATTGAGAAGGTTACGATAAAAAACAGGAATAGTTTACTTCATGTTTACTTAGTTTACTTCATGTTAGTTTACTTTTGAATAGACGATGAAAGAATTAAGTTGCGGAGTGAGAGAAACAAGCACAGCAGCTAACACCGAGCGAATCTCATTCCAACGCGTGTAAAAGCCCACATTTTAGGAAGACAACGATGTTCTATATTCATACAATCATGGCATTAATCGGAAAATTGACAATGTCGCGATAAAAATTAGTAATAATTTAATTCATCGGTCCAGTACGTAAGACTGGGATCATGTTAGGTGTGAGAGAAACAAGCAAAACGCTCTTAATTAGTGTTCAATGACACGAACTCCATACCAATTTCATTTTAACTTCTTGATGCGACTATTCGAGCTCCACGGATGACCGTGTTGCATACGCACGGAAGTTAAGGCGTTTCCCTTCTGCAGGTACTCACCGCTTCACCCACGGTGGCGCAGCAGCGGGTTGTAGAGTTGTAAAAGTATACTGCAAGAATCCAAAATGACGAGGATATCTCCATTCTTCGTTTATAGTAAAAGGACGTCCACTACGCATGAATAGTTTTACACGTACATATTAGATGTGAGCACATTTTTTATTTCAGTTTTGATAGGGCTATGTGCTGACCATGGTTTGTAGCGTATCTAAGTATTCGTGCCTCAGAGATATCTTCCCAATGTAAACAATGAATTGAAGGCGCTGTGTCATTTTGGATCCTCGCAATTCAGCCCGCCCCCGCCAAATGACGAATTTATTAGACTAAATTCTTACTTGCAAAATGCAGTCCAAATTTTGACGCTCCTATGGCAATTTCAAAGCATGAAAGTTGCATTAGAATGGAAATTCGATTTTAAAAAATCTAGACTTTTCCGTTGAGAGATGATACTTGGGTCCGGTATAAGTGATGGTTAGTCCAGGCATATTAGATCAAAAATCGGCGATTAGAAAAAAAAATTTATATATAAGGTTTTATGTGCCCAAGTTGTTCATTGGGGTGCCAGGGACTCCCAGAAAAAAGTCCCCAAGAATCCCCTGTACGCTCGACCCCCCGCCCCCCCAAAACCCCCAAAAAATCGACCTTTCCTCGGTTTTTCGTAAATATCTCAAAAAGAATTGGTTTTAGCGAAAAATGAGTTATGTAGTGAATAAAAGTTCATAAAATTTCCAATAAAAATGACTTCTATAAATTTTTTTGTAAAACGACTTTGAACCCCTCAAAATGGCCGCCGAAAAAACGGGCATTTACGGAAATTTCAGTTTTTTCCCGAAAATGCCCATTTTTCTTTGAAACGGCTGCTCTCATGTAAAAGTTAATGGCGGATTCTGAAAGAGCGTTGAATTTCACATCAGAAACGATTAAAATCGATCATTTTAGACTCACAGTCGATCTACGGAAATACGATATATCGAAGCTCTTCCGCCCGGGCCTAACAAATCAA